TGCTTGTGCCAGTGCTTACTTTCATTTCTTTTTACAAGGCATCTTCTATTCTTGGAAATATTTCCCAGGAACATAAAACAAATGTCACCCTTACCTCTCTACAGTAAAACCACCTGAAACAACTTAGCTAGAAAGGCACTAACTACTCAGTCCATTCTTTCAGGGAAGCCAAATCTCAGCTCTGAATGTACTGCATTTGTATATTGGTCTGAAGCTTGTACTTTCACTATTACATTTTTCAGGTTTCCATGTATTAGACATGATCACATAATGTAGTCCTATAATGTAACCCACTTCTTTACATAGATGGAAGGTGGTCTACAGTGGGGAACATAATGAGGTTTGTGCAATCAGAGCTAACTCTTAGATTGTCACTCTTGGTCACTAATTCTGAGGGAGCTTGAATTTATTTCTATACATTGTGGTTATGACCATCTCACTGTCATGAATGCTGTCCTTATCAAAGGACAATCATCTAGTTTGTGTTTAAAATGTTCTTGATATTGAAAATGCTAAAGTCACATCTCGTTTATGTGAACACACCTTGTCACCCCATCGTAGCTGGGTTTTTTTTTTTTTTTTTTTTTTTTTTTTTTAATACTATGAATGAGGACTGGCGTTTTTCCCAGGAGGTGTGGCAGAGGTAAATGAACATGGCACTGAAGGATCCTATTGTGTTGTAACAGTCTTGCTGGAGACCTGAAGGTGTGTCTCTGCCTTTATAAATACCACAGGGCTTTTACAACTAGCTCTGATTCTTTTGAAAGAGCCGAGCTTCATCGCGGGTTACATTTGAATAACTACAAGTACCGTGCAAGGTATGTCCTTTACTTATTTTACTTCTGTGCTGTTCCACTGGAAACACAACATTATTGTAACATCATTATTTTAATCCTATAAATTGCCATGTTTGCAGTAAAACATGGTGTCTTCTCAAGAGAATTTCAGACGACTTGTAGTGTTTTTTTATGCAGTGAAAATCTCTGTGTATAGAAGGCACAAAACAAGTAAGATAAGAGCTATGCAAAACTGGTACTTGCTCATATCAACTGAATACCTATATTTTCAATATTAGTAAATGTATGAAACTAAAGATATTTGCAGATACGTGAGTGCTGAATAGATACCATACAAGCATGACATGAGTTTCCTATATGGAAACTTGGCTAAAGAAATGGGCAGGGTGGAAACATTTGAACAGTACATTTAGGGATCTGATCAGCTAAATGGCAAATTTGAACCCTTTGCCATTATGGTGTAATCTGCCAGACCTTTGGTCCTGAAAGCTGCTTCAGACAGAGCAATTTCCAAAGAAATGTGCGGATTCAAGAGTCATCTTGATATTTATTTGCTAACTAGTTACATTTCAAAACTGAGAAATTATATATTTGTTGCTTTAAACATAGCCAAGTATACTGGAGGTGTGTTCAAAAATAAGATATTCATATTTGTTTAACAGTCAAGGCATTGAAGAATGTATGAATAGTTACTCTTTTTGATGTCCAAAAGAATAAAAATAATTTTGTCGATAGAAATCTGAAATGTTGACATTACCAATGAATTAAGAAAAATTACAAGAGGCTTAAGAGGTAGTTTTGCTTGACTTGAAACAAATGGCTTCCTTTCTGATTGGTACATTTATAAAGAAAAGCCAAAGATTGTAGTCAAAATGGCTTGTATGCCATTCACAAAACCTTCAGGAAATGAGAGGTCATGGGAACAACGGTTTCCTTATCTTTTATAACTTCAAATGTTCACCTAAGATAGGTAAGTCCCAGGTTCAAATTCCTGCTCTGACTGCAACAGAGATTTTTTTGTTATGGTGTCTCAGTTAGTGAGCAGTAGTATGTCCTGAGAAAGCATGTCTTCTGTTGGAGCTATTCCATACTGCACAAATAATTAGTAACTTGGATCAGAAAGACATTTCTCAAGAACAGTATGAAATGGCTGGAGAACCCAGACATTACTCACTCAGAGGCTGGAGGGTTTTGTCAGTAACATCATTGTAATATGCTGTCAAAGAGTAGTTCAAGTACTCAGTCCAGAATTAAATGAAGGTATTTATATAAATATTTATTTATTTTCAGTTGGAAAGCAGGTAACAAGCAAAACAAAGGCCATGAAGATCAAAAGCTTTGGACTTCTTTGTGTGTTGATTCTGGTCTCTCAGATGCTACTGGGTAACTGCGAAAGACAGAAGGAAAGGAAAAGAGAAAGACAAGGTGTAGAAAAGCATGGAAGAAGCCAAGCTGAATCTAACCAACAGAATGAAAAAGGGAAGAAGTCAAAAGGAGGAAAGGCATCTCCTAAGGGCAAATTTAAAACCAAAGAAAATGCTGAGTGCACCTGGGCAGTGGCTGACATCAGTGCTGCTACTCTGCGTGTAGATTGCAAGAGTGGTGAAAGCAAGTTCTGGTGTGAATTTTCAGGAGACCCTTCCACCTGTCCACAGTATGCAGCAAACCAGAAATCCTACTGGAAACAGGTTTCCCGCTCCCTAAAGAAGCAGAAGCAGATCTGTCAAGACCCTAAAAGTGTCCTAAAATCTAAAGTTTGTAGGAAAGGCCCACAAAGTGCTCATCTCAGACTGACAAGCTCAAGCCTGCTAATGTCAATAGCTCCTGTGAAAGGGATTGCAACTCATCATGCAAAGGAAGGTGACAAAGAGACTTTGACCTCTGCTTCTGAGACTAAAAAGCAACCGGAACAAAATTCCAAAGACTGCGTTGAAGATATAGATTATATTGATCAGAAAAAGGTGGCTGAGGAATACTGTCCAGAAAGCTTGCTCTCTTTCTGCAACTTTTTTATCACAATGATACAGGACAAAAAATGCTGAGGGATGTTCGTAAAACTCTGAAGGATGGAAATTTGGTCTCATCTAAGTTTTTAGATTTTTTTTATTCTCATGTTACATAGTGTATATAAGGAAAAAAGGGCACACAGTTATATATTTATGTATCTTTTCTGATTTTGTACTTACAGAACAGACTACATTTGTCATAGTTGAAGATGTTATAGATTTATCTGCATATATGCTATGCAGGTGTTGCCAATAGATGTTATGTACTTGACATAGCGGTAAATAAGTTTTTCCCTTGTCCCTCTTTGAGCTGTGTTAGCCAAAGTGATGTATTCAGTGCCATGCACTTCTTGGTTGTGTACAATATTTTGATCAAAATCCACTAAGAAAAATAAACTTTAAAATATATTCAAAATACTCTCTCTCCTTTGCTGTTTTTAAACAAGCTTCCTCTGTAAGTGCTAGGCCTTTATCAAATGTAGGTTATGCACAAGATCCAGGCACAGTGTTGCTTATAGAACGGTTTTAATAATATTACTGTATCTTTGCAGAATTCAGCTTTCTCGGTCAGAATAAATAACATTAAGTAGGCAAATATGTTTTCATTAATTTAGAAATATATTATCATTAATTAATAGAATAAGAAAAAGGATTTTCAGATTGTCATAATTTTGCAAAGCTTTGGCTTAGCAACCTCATCAAATGATCTCAGAAAAGTTTGCAAACCTTTTCTTTCACCTCTCCTGTGGTGTGAGGTGCACTGTACTTGTTTTCTGGCAGGCCAGCTGGAACAGAGAGGACTTGCCCAGGTCGAAAGAGCAAGATAGTGACAGACCACAGAATAGGCCCAAAACTTGGCACCTTTGTCCATCCACTTATACACAGCATGTGCTCCATGCTGCTTGTACATTCTTTTAAAGTTCGGTTATCTTTGTCTATAGACAACAGTAATAAATACTTTTCTAGGCTTTAGGCTTAATCTGTTTCTTTGTTTGTTTGTTTTTTGAAAAATAGCCCAACTCCGCATGAAACTGTGAAGGTAAGTAATGACATCTGACCTTTGCTTATCTTTGAAACTCCAGTTGGGAGTAATGTAATATATAAATTAAACTCTTCCACTGGCACTGGGCTGTGAAAAATGCGCTTCTACCACAGGGGTCCATTTGAAGAAACTTGAATTTTCATGAAGTACAAATGCCCTGAGCATTTTAGCATTTCTAGGAGATCAATGTAATATTTCTGGCTCTCTAGCTGGTACAGCCTTTTCTTTACTGTGGTTTGCTAACTGCTATGCCCTGACTTGGTTTCAGTCTTTTAGAGAATATCTGTAAAATAGATAGTTACGATTAACTCGTCTTCTGCTACTTCCCTCTTTTCCTTCATTGTCACACATTCTTTTTATTTAAGTGAGAATGTCTGGTATGGGCATTTAATGCTCACTGATATGCTGACATGGCTATTCTAATGCTTATTGTTAATGTCAGAGGCACATGCCATTATCTAATATCAGCTTGTATTTTCTTTTTAGTGAAAAAATAGTTTAGCAAAAGTGCTTACATTTAGACAGAAGTCCTCAATAAGGAAGTGCTACCAAACACTGCTTTTCAGCTTTCTGCTTGTTAGTAGGGATCATGCTGTGTTACACAGTGTTCAAGTGATTTTGATGGGAAAAAGGCAGCTCTGATGACATCAGCTCTGATGGTAGCCACCATGCTTTAAAGGTGGCATTAGTCTGTGCTTTCTTGAAAGTATTTGATTGCATAGACAGTTACATTTTTTCTGCTATTTGTGAATTGTTACAGGCAAATTAACCTGTATGAGACTAATGTCTTGAACATGGCATGCTGTTATTAGGCAAACTCTCTAATTTTAGAAGGATTCAACTGTATTTTTCAAAGCTCAAATGGCAAAAAGGAAGCAGATCCTTTTATAAAACTCTAATCTCTAGATATTACCAGCATATGCAGTATAAATTCTGTTAGACTGCAATGCCTCTGCAAAGCAAAATTCCAGTTGAGGCTTTAGTAAAGAGGAGCCTGGAAGTCACAGTCATTTTGGTGCCAGGCAAAGTGTAAAATCAGCTATGAGTTCTTCATTATCCAAATTGATATGATCCACTTAGTATAAGGATGCTGTAGAAACAGGAAAGTAAAGAGATGCAGGGGATTCATTAGAAGCAGGCATTTGGCTCAAGCAATCACATGGTGAAGCAGCTGGGTATGGAAACCTATTCCAGGATACAGAATATTCCTGCCTAATAGTCCCATCTTGCAATTGGACAGGGACCAGGGCTGGATTAAGAGCTTTATGTTGCCTTCACAAGTATTAAGTATTTCATTGCCTTAAGTGTGATCCACCCCACACTGTGCTGCCAGGACATACTGCTCTGTGTGGCTGCCAGCCAGCCAAGCAAACCGAGCCAGCGTGACTTATCCCGAAGAAAATTCCAGCCTGGGATGTCAGGCCTGTGAATTAGATCTCCGTGTGCGGGAGTGTCAGCAGCGGCAGCACGTGTGGGAGCTGCCTCTCTTCTGTGTGGGTGCATTTCTGTTTCTTTGCCTTGTTTTCTTGCAGGACCTGCTTGTACCTCTGTGCTGGGCATTCTGCAGCAGGAAAACGTGCTCCACAGAGTGCACATCACCTCTTTCACCTATGGAATTTCACCTATGGAATTGTTCCTGTGTCCTACAAAGAGGGCGTAAGACATGAGGAAAACATCTATATACAAGGTTTTCCTTTGAAAGTGGGCTAATGTGAGAGTGCACACATCAAAACTGCTTCAACCAAAGAATGAGATTTTTAACTTTCTATGGGTATGAAATTTTACCAGTTCTTCAGAGGGGGCACATTTCAGAATAGCAAGATCTGAGGAAATATGGCTGGATTCTAACTTCATGAACAACCTTTTCTGTAACAGTGTTGACCACAAGTCTAGGTGCTTCTGAACTTTCATGGCATTTACCAAGCTCGTGTGTCAGTGATGCATCTACAAAGCTGTCTCTTGGCAACTGCATAGGAGCTGCTTTCTTTTGGGCATAACAGAGCCAGTTAGGTCAGTATAATCTTGATGCTTCAGGAGCCAAGCTGGTTAAGACAAATAAACCATTTCCTGGCATTCTTCATCTCAAGATCTGTGGTCATTACCAAAAAAAAAACCTCACACTTGAGTTCTATTCTATGCATTTCTCCCGTATGGTTGTCATTGTGTCAAAACTTCAGGTTTGAATAACTTGGAGATATGGTGGAGTTTTCCAATAGCTTCTACACAGCAGGGAGTGCATGATGTCTGTGCAGCCCAAGGCCTTGTAATCAAAGCATAAGGAGCTCTGCTTTGTTAGAAGCTCACTCAGTTGTGAAAACATCAGCCCCATTTTACCCCTGGGGAAGTGATGTATAGAAAGAAAGGAAGGAAGGAAGAATGGATGACCTGGAGTCATGGGAAGAAAATCAGTAGCTGAATGAGCAATAAAGCAGAAATCCTCAGTTTCAGTGGTCCCATCTCGTGCCTCATGCTTAGATCATTCTGGACACACACAACATATGCTTGTTCTGTGAAGTATTGAGCTAACTTCGCATTTTTAAAAAAATGCTAGTAGTGCCTTTGGTAGAAAAGTTGTTTCATTTCCAGTACAAAATAGTTTGTTTTAACAGTATTTCTAAAATTTCTATAGTTTGTTTTTGTAATCCTGTGTATCATAATTTGAATGTTACTTAGAAGAGGACGGCTTTTGAAGATGAAAGACTTGTTCCAGCTTCAGAGCTGGATTCAGAGACAAAGAAGCTTCAGGGAGTTTCCCTAGTCTTGTAGTGTGGAACTCTGATAGATGTGGTAACCTCTGTGGTAACATGTACCCCACATATACCCACATACTCAAAAAATCTTCCCAAAATTTGCTTTTTTTTTTTTTTTTTTTTTAAGGAGAGAAAAATTTGGAAGTCAGAATTTTTCCAAAGAGTTCTTCTAAAAGGTGACAATTTTATCTAGGGAAGTTTAGATTTACTAGAAAATGGGGAGACAATGTTACTGCTCAGCAAATAACTCTGTTGTTTGCTCCGAGGCGACACAATACTGACAAAGAATCTTTAAAACAGAGTCCTTTACTCTTTAGTTCTTTTATTACTTTCTGTAGTGTATTTTCCACTCACTTTCACACACCATTTCATTTTAATGAGTTTCCGCTCCTTTTGCAACCCCCTTTATTCATTTTCCACTTTGGCAACTGTACAGTTTGCACATCTAATCTCGTAATACCTTGCAGGACTGCTTGTAGGAGAACACAAGGGGAGTGACTCACCGGTCCCGCTTCCAAGAGCGCCCAGCCCTCCTCTTCCCCCAGGGCACCAATGAGGACCTGCCGCCTGATATCGCCTCACCTGGACCGGGCCAACCATTGCAGAGGCTGAGTGCTCAATCATGATGTATTCTACGCTGCTGTGCTCAATGTGTGTAGACATAGCTGAACCTAGATAACATTCCCCTCCCTCTTCCACCTTTGCCTTATTTTTTTCTCATGCTGCCCCAAGCAGGGCAGCTCATTACTTGTTAGAAGCTGCTGCACCTCACCTGTGCCTTCACCCAGTTCTCATTCCATTTCAGTATGTTGCGTTGTTTGTTGCTCTAGGCTATTTCCAAGGGTGATTATCACTTTGACTTAGATTAGTCCCTGCCCTGAGACTTGATCAAATGGGAAAACCCAGCTTTGAGGCCAGGAAGTTCCACAGGTTCCAGCTTGCAGAGATGTCTTGCAATCTTGCCACCACTGTGGCAGTACCTTCTCATTGCATGCTGGAGCCTGCATAGCTCCTTTCCTTCAGCCCCAGAAGCAGTCTAACAAATCCCATGGTGGGGGGATACTGCCATAGGTATACCAGTCTTCTAACGTCTCTGAGATTTTCTCTGCTCCTTTTGTTTGTGTCCCATGTGCAATTCTCAAATCCCCTCAAAGAGCCAGGGAGAGCACATGACAAAATGTAAGAATTCTGGTAGGACCGAGTTATTAGACACTGAATTCTTGGAGATTTTGAAAGTACATGGT